AGCAAATGTTACTACTTGTCAAAGTAAGCTGTTCCAAACTAGTATTTCAAAAATTTTGATAACATGTTAATTTTAAAAATTCCCCGAATATCGTATGCTAGTCGAATTCAAAAATTGTCGGCGACATCTTCAAGCTCATTTTGAGAACTAAATCATAGATATATTGAATGGTCCAAAACGGATATGGAAAATAGTTAAATGTGAGTCAAACATAAATCTTAAAAAAGACGTCTAACTTGTCTTTTCTTTAAAAAATTTCAATTATTTCATGCACGTTTATTATTTTTGTGTGACAAATTTTTAAATATAATTTACATCATTTTATTAGGAAATTTCACATCGATTATAATGTCAAAAAATTTCGAAATTTTACATCTGAAAAAGTCACACTCCATGTACATTTTCGGATGTAAAATTCAAATGTAAATTTATATAGAGTATGACTTTTTTCAAATGTAAAATTCTTAACAATTTTTTTGTAAGTTTGATTGTGTCTCCTAATTCAAAAAATGAGTGGTAAAATTTGATGCTACAACAAATTTTCCATTTTTGTAAAATTGAATCAATTTCCATATGTTAGTCCTGATCTATGTTTGTCAAAAGTTTGATATATCAGATTCATAAAATGAGAAGAGGCTTGATAATATATTTTTGGCCTTCCATGAAAATATTAATGAACCATGTTTTCCTTTTATATCTGTAGATTGTTACCAACATAGGACTGAGCATTTGATATCTAAAGCCTGTCTAGTTCTCGTTGGAAAGAAATCCACTGAATGTCCTTCTGTTTCCTCCTGACATGGTTTGACAGGCGGTAGGACTTAATTGGCTCCAAATCTTAGCATCAAGATAATGCCTTCAACCTATTATTCTAGTACTGCAGTATGTAAAATTATTGAGCGTTTATCAATAGTCACGCTGGCGCCTAATAGATTGCATAATAAATTCTCGTGAATTCTAGGCATTTATCTTCTTTATGCATTCAAAACCAATGATTTTCTCTGGGTTTTAGGGTTTAGTTCACTTGCTATTACTCTAAAAGAACTTTTAAAGACTCGACATATAAACCCATATTTATATGCTTACTTGAGATGTCTTTCACTTAATTTGAGGTGAATCAAATGTCAATTGAAATGCACGTGGACGATAGAAGATTACTTGGTAGCACCTCACTATAAGTATCGAGATCTTTCCTCAAATTATTTTTGTTTAAGATTTAGATTTTTTTGTCTATCTAAAACCTAAATTGTTTCTCATATCGTGTCATTAGATGACAAATCTTTATAACATGTGTACGTGACACTTAAAGTTAGAATGTCTAACTATGATGTCTACCTATGATGTGTCTTTAATCGATGTGTGTCTGGTTGCTTTTGTCTGAAAACTTTATTAATGATTGCTTTTGCTCTAAAAGGATAATAGAACATCTTATGAGAAATCAAAAATTTTCCTACATAACTGTACACACACACTGTAAAAATCTCTGCTATTTACTTGTAACGTGGTAAAAATATGGTGCTACACCAAATTTTCCACCTGCATAATATTGCATGATCTATTTCCTTGTATCATTTCTGCATTCAGCATTTCTCCAGATGGATCTTAGACTCTTAAATACTAGCAATTTTAAGGAACATAATTTTCTTTTGCACAGGTTTCAGGATGTGGTAACATATAGTGCCGTGAAGAGTAATTGAATCTCGCGATACGAGGTTTGTGACTAAACCTTTATATACCTGTTTCAGTAAGATAGTGTTGATATAAATTTTGAGCCAACAGTTGATGAAGAATAGGAACGCAGCCAGCAGAATACCTGCAAAATCTTATGTAGTGCATATTCTCTTGCCCGTGTCGACATCTTTTAATAGACGGATTTCTGTTGATGCTAGATCTTATGAGTTCACTCAGCATTTCCTATTTTTTATTTTTAGTTTTAGTTTTTCAAATGAAGACAAAGCAACTCCAATACTTGCCTTCCTTAAATTTTTAATTACCATTGACTACTGTGCTCATTTTTTAACACTCCAGCTGGGTGTTCTCGACAAAAGTTAAATAAGAGATCGTGTTGACATGTGGCTATTGCCTGCTGTCTGTAAGAGATGGTGTAGGTGTTCGCCGGCGAAGCTCCTGTGGTAGAGTCTTGGAATATTAAACCAGCCCAACAGCAAGGTCACTAGCCCACATTCTCCAGCCCAAATCAGATTCATTCTTCACCAGCAACACCAGACCCCCCGCTCAGCTCTTCTTCACGAGTTCACCACATCATCCCGCAACATGCTTC